TGTTCCTATATAATTAAATCCAACACTGAGGGAAAACTGACAACTATTAAATCGAGTGCAGTCTGGAGAGGGAAAGGGGATAAGATAAAATCCAATCTATAAAATATATTCCATTATCTTTTATAGGTTAAAAGAAATACTTGGAAAGAATCTTCTAAGATGAGAAGATTTTAAGATTGTGTGAGGATTTTTTTTTTTTTTACAGGTGCAGAGTAAGTTCGGGTTTTTTTTTCCTCTTGGTTTTTTTTCTTTTCCCCATCTTTTTTTTTTTTTTTCCCATGTTGTTTGCAAAGTTGAATCTGGGGTCAGGAGTTCTAATTGTAACCTCAGACTGGAATTCCAGATGGTGCGCTCAGGACTAGAAGCAACTCTCAGCTCATCAATTTCATAGGCCTGCGTATCTGCTCTGGCCACGGCCCGGCCTCCATCCCCACTGTGGCATTAATGCAGAACAAATTGAGACATATCCTCTATATAATTAGTTCCAGAATTTAAAAAGATTTACGGTATAATAATAGAGGCAGCGCTGCGGAATCCTTTCATTGGGGACTCTCTCGCGGTGGCATCAGAACAGACGGGTAACCCTGACCGCTTTAGACACTGCGAGCCGGGGGTGGGGGAAAGGGGAGTTTTGCTCCGCGCACTTCATAGTGCGCACGGGTCCTGGGACCCAAACCAAACGAGTCTGAACCGTAGATGGGAGATTGGCCAAAAAGTCCAGTTAATTTTCAAATGAACAGAGGAGGCCGGGGGGTAGACAACAACAAAAGCCCTTCTCTTACTTTTTTTCAATTTAGATAAATGAAGCTGGGATTTCCACCGCCTGCGCGGGGATGGAAACCAGCCTAAGCGCCTGCCGCGGCCCGGGGTAGGCAGTCTGCTAAGAGCTGGAGTCGTCGGGGAGGAAAGGAGCAGCGGTCAGAAGCGTGGAGCTCGGGCACTGGCCTCTGCGCGAGGCGCTAAATCGAGCGCTGATTCCTCCCCGGCAGCCCACCACTCCTTTTTGCTGTCTGCGGCTCTGAGCGCGGGCAGGCGGCCCCAGCCCTTGACAGATCGCAGCGCCTTGGTGTGTTTATTCAGTTGTCGGCGGCCGCGGGGGTGACGCCCGGAGCACCGCTCCGGAGTACGGTCTGGTCCCTGGGGCCGCGGCTACAGGGCCAGGCTGGGCGCTTGGTCAGATCCAGTTGACGGCGCCGGGGTCAGAGTGGGGGTGGGGGTTAGAGGACCTCCCTCCCCCTCCCACTCAGCCTCGATTTAAAAATCTTGGAATAATTAAGCCCCTTCCAGGCCAGGATGAACTTTACCAATGACACCAAAGCCACGTAGGTTTCCGGCATCTCCCTCCTTTCCTTTGCTCCCCATTTCATTAGCTCTAAAGAGGCCGAGGGTGGTGGGTTAAGCCCTGAGAGGAGCCTGGGTTCCTTGGTTTTGCCACTAATTTGTTCAGTGTCCTTGGACAATAATAACAAAAACCTCTAACTTTCATCGAGGACATAGGCCAACACTATCTTTTGTCTACTCCTTTAGACTCCTTGAGGGTGGGTACTAATAACTCATTATTCCATGTGACCACTAAGGAAACTGAGGCTCCCAGCGGCTACAGACCGCGTCTGTGGTCCTCCAGCTGCTGGTTACCTGGTGGGGAGCTGCGGTCCCTTTCTCTGGCCACCCATCCCTTGCACTTAACCACTGCACGCCACAGCTGCCTCTCCGCCCTCTGCCTGGGCCTCAGTTTCCTTTTCTGCAGAACGAGAAGTTGAATTTCTAGCTCTGTCAATCGGTGGTTCAGACCACATCCTCTGCCAGAGGTCTCCTCGCTATCTGGGGAGTGGGAAGGTGAGTAAGAGAAAGGAGTAGCCAGGTCTCCGCAGCCCCCAGATCCCTGGGACCTTGGGCGGCTCTCGAGCTGCCGGAGATGCCGCCGATCGCCCTACCTGCTGGGGCGGGCAGAAGTGGGACCTTCTTTCCGACCAGACTGTCTGCCCGGCTAAGGGCGCGAAGGCTAGCCGAGCGGGCGCGTCCGCCTGGGGAACCGCAGAGCGCCCGCCGAGAACGTTATCTAGCGGAGGAAGACGTGGAGAGCTGAGGGACCGGATGGGCGCGGTAGTTTGCGGGTTTCCCGGGGTTGGCTCCGGGGCGCCTGGGCTCAGGGCACGGACGCGAGCGAGACCGAGGGACCTTCGAAGATCTCATCTCGGGGGAGGCTGCGGCTTCGGATGCACAGCACTTATTTCTCTGCGCTGTGGATTGCAGGGGACTCCTCCCACCGCTTCGAACTCAGGTCGGGGCGAGGGGGTACCCCAGGGTCGAAATGGGGATCGCATCACTGCTTTTCCCTCTCTCAAGAATTTGCAGGCAACAAGTAGAGTCCTAAATTTCCTAGCCCCCCCCCCTCCTCTCACCCCAGGCAAAAACTCCCCCCCCCCCTTAAAGTCAGAATTAAGCGCCCTTGCTCTCTCTAGGATTCAAAACCACAAAAGGTCACAATCAAGCCACCCTCCTCCAAATATCCCCAACAAACTGCACAGAAGGATAAAAAAAATAATCTCAAGCTTTCCCGTTTAGAGGTGGAAATCCCTGTCTTTTCCTAAATGGCTTGCTTTCCCTCACAGCGCTTGAGAAAAAACTACTTCGAAGTATAAATAAGAGTGAAAGGTGTGAGACAGGGGTTTAGGGCATCCTAGATGGCAACTTGGCCCGAGAAGTCTGAGAGGCCTTTCTCCATCAAAAAGACTTAAAGCCCATGTCCTCTGCCCAGCGATGGAGCCCCGCGCAGGCTTACAGATGCGGCGTGCGGGAGAGGAGTGGGCGGCCCACAACGAGTGTGGGCGAGAAGGAGCTGGCCTCGAGAGCCTTTTCACTTCTTTAAAAAGAAGAGAAAGAAAAAGCTTCTGAGCGCAAACTTCGAAAAGTCTGGCACCAAAGTCGCTCAGAAAGGTGTCCATCACTGCGAACGTGGTCCGGCCATCAAATGGGTAGCGCCTGTTCCCGACCTTTGCCCTCAAGGTTTCCTGCGCCTCCAGGACGAGCGACCTCCAGAGGAACCTGTACTTAGCGTGTAGGTGCCGCACACGGTGTGGGTCCGCACCCAGAGCTCCTGGCTTTTACTTAGTGCAAATTAATGAAAACCAAAGCTCCTTGTGAGTAAATCAAGGCTTTAAAAACGCCTAGCTTCTTTATAAAACTGCAACCACCTTGATTGTTGCTTCACATGGACTTGGCTGAAAATCTTCGGGCCCCATCCGCGGCCAGCCTCGTGTCAGAGGCCAGGCGGCACCCGGCCGCTTCCCGCCCCGCGCTCCTGGCAGTCCCAGGCTGCGCCGTCGCCGCTGCCTCCTGGGCGTTTCCACGCGCCTCTGAAGCGCACTCCCATCCAGGTTGCCGGCGCTTCTAGCCTAGGGTCTCTTTTCCGATAGAAGACGACTATTTTAGAAAAACCAACATAAACTAAACAAAACCTCAAACACCTGTTCTGGGGCGCGGGACTCCCAAAGAACGACTAGGTAGAGTTAGGAACCTGATTTGGCTGCGCCAGGCGCTGGGAGCTCCCAGCGGCAAGAACCCTGCCTTGGGCCGCTTGAGGCGCTCCTCCGTCCCCTTAACCTGGCTTGTGCGTCTGGGGCAGTCACCGCGCATCCAGAGTGGTCCTCTCGACTGGAATGAGCGGAGGGAGAGCTCAGCAGGACCGGCTCCGGGAGCCAGTCTAACCTCCAAGGATTTCGTATCCAAACCCTCCTCGCCCCCTACCCTCCACACTCGGCGCCGGGATTCTCCGACCGGAATCTGGGCATTTTCCTAAGGGTTTTCTTTCCTCCCAAACTAGCCGCCATTCTGTTTTGCCGGCTTCGCCGTCGAAGAGTTAAGATACTCCTCACTAGAAAGGGAGATGAGGTGTCGCTGGCACCGATTTCAGGTGCGCGGAAACCGCCCTTCTCGGCGCAAACCTCACCATGTCACCAGTCAATGGAATTACGCTCCGTTTATTACAATTGATGCAACCTCCAGGTCACCCACCTACGCCTGAGTCTGGCCTCTGGAATCCACAAAAAGCCACCCCACTCCCTAGTGACCCTGAGATTATGACCACCAGCCCAGTCTGACGGCTCTAGAAGCAAGAGCCGGATTCGGGGCGCAAAGCAAGAAATCCGCGGTTTTGAAGTCCAGGAAAATTCTCTGCAGCTATTCCGAAGTTCCCGCCCTCGTGGAGCCCCCTGCCCCTCCCTCCAACCCGCCCTCCCCGATTAACAACCCCATCCCCACCCTCACCACACAGGGATGCAGGGGGGACATTCCCTGCTCACCTGGAGCGGCTCGCCAGTGCCCCGAGGCGCCCACACTCGCGAAGGCCGAGAAGGGGAGGTGGGGGGGAGGCCTGTGTCCCACAGGCCAGCGGAGAGCGCGTGGCGGTAGGAGAGGAGGGTGTCTCTGAGAGGGACGCTCCCTCTGGCCCGCCCCCCACCCCCACTGCGAGGACGCCCCCAAGGAGTCGCGCGCCCGGCCCGGATCCGCTAGGGCTGCGGTGTGAATGGAGCCGCCGAGACTCCTGACTCCTCCTCCTCCCCCGCCGCCGGCCCCTCTTATTTGAGCTTTGAGAAGCTGGGGGCAGCCAGGCAGCTGGGGTAAGGAGTTCAAGGCAGCGCCCACACCCGGGGGCTCTCGCAACTCGACCGCCTACCCGCTCCCCCCTTCCCGCCCTCCCTCCCACTCATTCACTCACCCACCCACCCAGAGCCCGGACGGCAGCCCAGGAGCCGGGGCCCCGCCGCCTCCTCGCCGCGATCCTGGACTTCCTCCTGTGGCAAGAGCCGGCGTCCACGTGTGCCCCGGAGCCGGCGTCTTCGCACACGCTCCGGCCCGCGCCTGGGTGCCTTCAGCAGCCCCAGCTGCCGGGGTTCCGGGGTCCGGAAGGCATCTGGGCCAAGTTAGGCGCGGCGGAGTCGAGCGCCGAGCGTCTGCAAAGCCGGAGGGGCCGCGGAGCGTCCGGGGTTGAGCCACAGCAGATGGGCTCCGACGTGCGGGACCTGAACGCGCTGCTGCCGGCCGTACCCTCGCTGGGCGGCGGCGGCGGTTGCGCCCTGCCCGTGAGCGGCGCGGCGCAGTGGGCGCCGGTGCTGGACTTTGCGCCCCCGGGCGCCTCGGCTTACGGGTCCTTGGGCGGTCCTGCGCCGCCGCCGGCTCCGCCGCCACCCCCACCGCCGCCGCCGCCTCACTCCTTCATCAAACAGGAGCCGAGCTGGGGAGGCGCGGAGCCGCACGAGGAGCAGTGCTTGAGCGCCTTCACCGTCCACTTCTCGGGTCAGTTTACCGGCACAGCTGGAGCTTGTCGCTACGGACCCTTCGGTCCTCCTCCGCCCAGCCAGGCGTCGTCCGGCCAGGCCAGGATGTTCCCCAACGCGCCCTACCTGCCCAGCTGCCTCGAGAGCCAGCCCGCTATTCGCAACCAGGGTAAGCGGGCTGGGGAGCGCCCCCTACACGCGGGGCGGTGGCGGCTGGGTTGTGACCGCGCGCGGGCACTCCCCGGTCCTACCCCTTCCCTGACCACAGCTCTTACCCGGTCGTCTCCCCAAGGACTGTTAAGGGTAGAGGAAGCCGCAGCTGGGGCAGACAGGAGGCCCAGGGAAAGGAGGAAGTCCACAGCGTGGGTTCCTGACATCCTCCAGGGCGGGGAACCGGGGAACCGGACCCTTCGCTTGAGCCGGGAGGTCATCTGGGGCCCTTGGACCCCAGGAAATTATCAGGCTACTCCCCATGGGGATGGGAACCGGGAACCGGTGCAGTGCCTGGCTGTGTCTCGGGAAGAGGTTTTGTCGCCTAAGGCACCACCAAACGTCTGCAAGCATTGGCGTTTTAAGACCCTGGATTCAGAGTGGGACCAGCGCGTGGTGAGCAGCCCTTGCTGCGTCTGCCCGCCAAAAATGCCAGGAGCTCCTCTGGCCCTAATAGAGGCACCATAAGTACCTTGAAGCCCTAGAATGGGTAAATGAATGAGCTGGAGACAAAGTAGTGGCTTTCCTGGATCCATGTCCCCGTTTGCGTTTGGCTCCAGTGTAAAGTAGTGTAGAAGTGGATAGCTCCTGGGTACCAGCTCAGGTGCGGCCACGCGGGCTCCAGGGCTGGAGCACCCCGTTTATCCGATTCCAAACTCTGCGCGACGGGGTCCTACCACAGGCGGTGAAATGAGGCCAGAGCGCCGGCTTCCTTCCAGTCCGCCTCAGGCGCCTCCTCGTCGTTGAACCCGGGTCGTAGCTGGAGAAAGATTTTTGCAAGACTTGAAAGTTAAAACAAAGAGAGGTTTATTTTCCGTTTTCAGTCCTCGTACAGCAAGGGACACAGTCGTGGTTTTCTCATTTTGAGCCGTCGTCCGCTTTTTCTCAGGGACCAAAGCAGAATCAATCACGCCGACTTCTGCATTTTATTTTGTTTATTAGACTTCTGCGCTGTTGTGAACCTAAACCAATTCTGGTTGATTCAATGTTTTAGGAAATGCTTTTAAAACGCAGGGGCGGATGCTTTTCCTAGAGCAAAAATTCGCTCGGGCCTAGGACTAGTCTGTTTCTGGAATGCATGGGTTGGGAGCAGAGAGTGCGTACTGTTTGCAGGAGGTGCTGGGGCGCCCAAGGAGCGCGGAAGAAAGGCGGTGTTCTTCCCGCCTTGGCGCGCAAGTTCTAAACGCGTATCTTCATACGCGCGACCCCATTCACACCCAGCCGAGAGCACCTAGCCCGCCAGAAGCCCTGGCGAAATCGAAACCACCCTCCTCCCTTCGTTCGGGGAATCTGGGATCCATGTCCTGTGGAAAACCTCAAACCCACCCATGAGGTCCCTCCAGTCTAAATCTTTCATAAAGGAAAATTAGTGTTTGGAACTCAAGGAGTATTGGAACAGCTCAGTGACGATTGCAGATTCTTGTTCTCTGATCGTTCCACCTCTAATTAGCACGTTGGTGTTACCTTTGGTAAATCTCCAGATCTCAGTTTCTCTATCTTGTAAGAGAGCCCAGATGCCCAACCTGATGTCTGACTCTGGTTTGAAGTTCTATGCCACAGAAGTCCGCCCCCCGCCCCCCACCCGTGTTCTAAACACAGAAGGCAGCAGCCACCCAAACTTGGTTGGACCTAAAAGGGCAAGACTGGCAGGCAGGTGTATGAGGTGAGTGAGTCTCTGTTTGGTAGTGTGCTATTTGAAGACACCTTAGAAACCATTTGATCTAAGTACCCCATGTGCAAATACCATTATCATTTTGAGTCCATCTAGGTTCTCTAGGGTTTTTGGAACTAGGACTCTGTGGCTTTGCTTGGATCCTTGTGTCCAAACTTTTACAGGGTCATCTGATGCCCAGAATTCCATCAACTCAAGTCTCAGGGTTGAGACTGTGGGCTTCCTAGCCAGTGTGCACTACACCTAAGGGGAAAAACAAAATCTCAATTTCTCTCTAGAGGATAGGCCTGGTGTGTCAAAGAGAAAAGGGGCTTGGGAGCTGGGGACCACGACTAATAGGTAAAGGAACCACCCCCCTCCCCCAACTTCCTGGGAAATTACTCAGGAGAGAGGCCACAGACCCAGGCCACAGCCTGTAAGCTGGTTCCTGTCTTTAGGCTTAGGTTTTCTCTTGTGATAAAAACATAAGGGGTCACGCTTGCCCAGTCTCTGTGAGTCACTTGGCAGCTGGGAGCTGGGATGGGATGTCAGAAGCCACTCGTGGCTCATTCCTGGTGTTGGCAACCAGATTGGGCCCTGAGATTTCAGATTTATTCTCTTGATTTCTGGGCTTCCTGCAGCTCCCCCAGGAATGTAGAGTCTTGGCGGGAGACTTGAGTTGGGGAAAGCAAGGGCAAGAGTTCCTTCCCCACAGCCCATCAGCTGGCCAAGGCCAGTTCCAGGGGAGAGGAGTCAAGATTCTGGATCCCAGTCTCTAGGCAGGACAACCTTCAATGGCTCAGGGGAGGAGACAACTGCTGGCATTCTTGCATCTCCCCCCACTCCAAGGTATCATACCTCTGTTGGGTTTTTTTCGAGTTTCTTAAATATTATACCTGGTATTCTAATTTTGCTTCTAAATACTCATTCAAGAAACATTTATTGAGCACTTATTCTGTGCCAGGCACTGGAAACTGAATGTTAAGACAGAATGTCTCAGCCTTTGCAAGACACTCACAGCCTGATACTGGAGGAAATCTAGACTCTAAGAGATGTGTCCAGATCTCTCTCTGGCAAAACTTGGGCTCAAACCCAGACCGTTCTAGGCTATTTCAACCTTCGCTTCTAGGGATCTTTGCCCCCCTGTTGAGATGGATTTCCTCTTCCCTGCTGGACGGCACCGAACCCACTGTAGTCTGTGTGTGACTGGTGGGGGATTTGTCAGGAGGGGGAGGACTTGCATTCCCAAACTAAGTGCGAAGTTTGGGAAGGGAAAAGGAAGACTGCTTGAGAGTCTGAGCGATTTCCCCAGCCTCTCTGGAGCACAGAATCCTATCCCTGGAGGATACCTGGTTATCACCCGGCCACCTAGTGTCCCACCGGGGCACCAGACAGCCCTGGGGCCAAGGGCGCCCCCTTCGGGTCGCTTTGGAGAGGGTATTTCGTTGCGAGATAGCTTTCCCCGTACGCTGCCGCTTCCGCGGCTGCGGAGTCATCATTTTCAGCCCTTGGGGCCACTTTCCTGATTGAGCCCGCTGTCCCCTCCACCCGTCAGCTCCCACGGGGGCCTGGCCCGGCCAGGCTGTTCCCGGACTCCTCCGCTGTGGCGGGCGGGGGAGAGAAGCGCAAAGCGGGTGTCGCTGCTCCACGCGGTCAAGGTTGCACTGCCGTGGGAAAGGCGCTACCTTGGCCGCTGGAGCCTCTCCCTCTAAGGCCTGTAACAATACAAGGAATCTTTGAACACGCTGTCCCCTTTGGCCGGCAGCTGTCCCTCCCCCGGCCCCCGCCTCCGCGCTCGGCTCAGTGCAAGGCCCCGGGACCACGCGCTCTAATCAGTCCCGCATCGGATAAGCTTCTAATTTAAAGGGCCTTCTCCCCTCCTCTACGAGGGCGCTTTCACCGAGGTGCACCCCCTCTCCGGGAAGGGGGGCCTTGGGAGCCTCGCGGGGCGCGGAGTCGAGGCGATCCGCGCAGGAGCGGCCTCCCGCAACTTTGGCGGGGCCGCCTCCGGGGACAGCACGATGCTCCGGCCGCCGGCTCAGGAATGGAGAAGGCTCCGTCTAGAGACGACTTTTTGGTCGCTCCTGTTTCTCCTCTTTATTTAAAAAACAATTCTTTGAAAATTCGGCCTTCCCCTTGCAAAACTGGGCGCTCCGAGCCAAATTTCGCTTGTCAGAGGATTGGTAGGCCTCAAACAGCGTGGCCTCCGTTCCCAGAAGGAAGTGCCTGGAAGCGCCAGCGTGCGCACCCTGACAGCTAGCGGGCCGGCGGTTATCTTTGCCCACTTAGCAGGCCAGAAATAGAGGCCTCTGGGGTCATGCAAATTGCTAAAGCAGGTGGCTTCTTAAGTTGTCAACCTGTGGCGCCAATTGGTACGACAGACTTGTAAAATTCGTTTATTAAGACCTGCTCCAAGCCTCCCTTCCACTCAAAACAGACCACATTCCCCGAGGTGGACTGTAGAAGCTTGGTTTTTGTTTTTGTTTTTTTTTTGGGGGGGGGGCGTTTAAAAGACGTGGGTATTACCTTTCACTGTTCAATCTAAGTCTTCAGGAACGTTTGTTGTAGAGCCCTGATTATGCCTGGGGCAAGAGTTGGAGAATGGGGGTTGTTTGACTCACCCCACTCCCAAGAATCGAGGAGGGGGTGGTGGTGGTTGGAGGCTCAGCTCAATGCAAGAGGCGGGGCCCAGCGAGGGCGGGGTAGGGGGACTGGGTTCAGCCCAGTGGCCCTGCAGGGAGCCGATGTGAGCTTCTGGACTAATATGATTTCTGTCTTGACCAGCACCTCAGTTCAGAGACTACGGAGCCTGCACACAGGAAGGGACTCGATCATTGGGTTCAGGATTCAGAACTGATCTTTATCTTAGCTGGAGGACGCTTTTTCCCCAGAGGTAGCTACAGTTTTGCAGAAACCAGTGGGGTAAATGTTTCAAGTACTTTGGTGACAGTAATCACAGAAGGAGACTACGTTTTTTCAACCACCAACACGTGTTCCCCACCCCACCCCCACCTTCGGAGAGCTGGGGAAGAATGCCGCGACTGTGCCTTCGGTTTCCCGGTAGGGAAACTGAGGCATCGAACCCCGTGCGTATCCTGTCGGGAAAGGGAGGTACACTCTCAGGCACGCTCGGAAACAGGTTTCCCGGCCTGGGACGCAAGCAAGTCGGCCCCTGCGGTGATGGTCACAGTCCGATCCGCAGGGCTGATCCGAGGAAGGCGCAGGGTCGAGGCCCGCGGGCCCAACTTGAAAGGCCCTTTCCTTTTTTTCTCCTCACCAGCTTTCCCGAGGGCTTTGGGTGTCAGTGGTATCGGGTCGCGCAGCCTCAGACAGATAACATTACTCAGTAATTACTCTCCCCCATTTAAAGCCCAGGCCGTTTAACTGGCCCCGAGTAATTAATGAAAGTTGGTGCGCGGGCCTCTGATTTACGGCTCCGAGTCAGCGCCGGGTCAGCCGAGCAGATCCATTTCGGTCGCCCGCCGCTGCCCCTGCGCGAGAACCGCGCTGTTTTGTTTTGGGGGGAGAACGACTTTCTCCGCCGAGCGTTTGAAAGTTTTCATACTGGCGAGGTTCGGTGCAGAAGCCGTGGACGCCGTGAAAGACAAGGGCGTAAATAAATTGGGAAACTCTGGGGAGGTCTGGGTGTTACTCGGGAAAGTCTGGGGAGCATGTCCCGAGGTCACACTGGGCCCGGCTTCCCTGGGGGCTGATTGGTGCGGGATCCGAATGCGGGACTGGGCGCTCCTCGCCGGGTTTCTGGTTCACAGGGTCCGTGACTCCCCGCTGACGCTTTTTCTCTCTCGGCCTCGCCCGCAGGATACAGCACGGTAACCTTCGACGGGACGCCCAGCTACGGTCACACGCCCTCGCACCACGCGGCGCAGTTCCCCAACCACTCCTTCAAGCACGAGGACCCCATGGGCCAGCAGGGCTCGCTGGGTAAGCCGGGGTGGGGGTGAGGGCCTTCTCCCCTTCTTCCATGCCACCCCTGCCTCCCCAGGAATTTCCAACCCACAGCAAATTGGGGAAGGGGGAAGAGGACAGCTAGAAGAATTTTAGAAATAGCCTAATCGCAAAAGAAAAGATTGTTTTCCCCCAATCCCAAGTATGTTAGCTCTACTCCGACGGGACTGCGAATGTCCAGAGGGTCTTTTCGGTGTTCTGTGCGGTGACTGCTTACAAGAAGGTAAAGGGAGCTTAGCTCGCTATGATCTGGACGCCCGTCTCTCGGCACGGCCCGGGCATCCGGGCCCCCGTGCGCCCTGCACAACCTGGGGCCCAGTCCCCGCCCGCGGCCCCACACCCCCGGCCCTCAGCGCGCGCTCACCCCGCTCTCCTGGCTCTCTGCAGGGGAGCAGCAGTACTCCGTGCCGCCCCCAGTCTACGGCTGCCACACGCCCACCGACAGCTGCACAGGCAGCCAGGCCCTGCTGCTGAGGACGCCCTACAGCAGGTAGGAAGGCGCTCCGCAGCGGGTCTGGGTCCCCGCGACCCCGGAGGGGGTGCTCGAGCTGGCGGGCCCTGGAGTGTCCGCCGCCGGGCGGCCCCGCCTGCGAGTCCTAGAGGCCACGGGCGCCTCGAACCCACTGGGCTCCTTGAAGCAAATTAAAGCCCATTACTTGGCTCCTATCTGAAAGTCATAGGTTTCCTGGTCTCCCGGCGGTGTGTCTTTGAATATCAATGAGGACGGTTACGTTTGCAGCTGAAAAGCGGAGCTTTGAGGATTTGTTGTTGTTGTGTTGTTGTTGTTGTTGTTGTTGTTAAGGGCTCTTTGCTAGGAGGACTTCAGCCTCCTCGGGATCAAGGATTAAACACGGGGTCCACTTCCACCCAGTCACCCAGTTTGTCTCCCTTTTCCAGCCCCCTCCTCGCGCGCTGGACACACTCGCCAGCCTTCTCTGGGATCAGTTCGAGGGCGCGTACATTCGGGCCACCCCCTTCTCCCCACCCCAGTCCCCCAGAGTCTCGGGTGCAGCAGCGCCCTGGGGGCGTCTTCCCCAGCGCCCCGCTGCCCCGGCGCTTTTTGGGTGCGGGATTGCAGGCCGGCGGCTGCGGTGCCTCCGGAGAGACAGCTCCAGTCCGCGCCCGCCCTTCTTCCTGTTCCCGGGAGGCGGAAAACCAGCTTCTCCCTCTTAAGCTCTTTTCCTGCCCCTCGTGCCTCCTCGGCGCTTGCTCCACCCTCCACCTTCTCTTCCCCCAAATTTATTCTTCAACTTTGGGTGAACTTGGCCGGCATCCCGCGTCGCCGATAGGGTTGCCTAGTAACTACACCCGCTGGAGCCGGGAGGGAAGTGGCCGCTCGCGGCCTTTTGAGGCCGGGGATTGGGCGTGCATTACCTCATTTTCCACCCCTACCCCCGACCCGGTGCTGCGGGGATCCTGATACCGACTGCCCCAGACTCATCTCCATCTTCCCTCCCCTCCGTTGGAAGACCCGGGGCTGACGTCAAGGGAAGGAGGTAGTGAGGTAATGAAGGAAGGAAAAGCGCCTGCCCTGGGAGATTGGTGGAAGGAATGGCCGAGCCAGGGGACCCTCCAGCCCCACAGGTGGAGGAGGGGAAGGGGTCTTCGTTTCCGAGCTCGCAGCAGCTCATCCCAACCCCAACGCCCCGGAGTGTTTAGGAAGCCGAGCCTAGGGCACTGGTCTGATTCTCCCATCCTGGGGAGGGACAGAGTCCAGCCCACCTACTTCTCTAGGCCTGGAGTACACAGACTTCGGAAACCTTTCCTTTTGGCTGGGGAAATCCGGCATATCTAATCTGATCTTGGATTCAAGATCACGGGTTTTTTTTTTTTTTTTTTCCTTTCTTTATGCCCCACCTCTACTAGATTTTTTTTTAAGAGAGGGCAGTGGAAAAAAAAAAGCATGCAGTTTGCCCAGGTTCAGGAAGATGTCCTGGAGAAGGGCACGGCAACCCACTCCACTATTCTTGCCTGGAGAATCCCAGGGACAGAGGAGTCTTGTGGGCTACAGTCCATTGGGTTGCAAAGAATCAGGACACGACTGAGCTACTGACACTTGCCCAGGTAGAGATTGAATGATCACACTTTCTCACCCTCCTGTCTCCCTCCTTAGCTGGTAGAACCAGTTCTGTTCTTGGTACAGCAGGCCCAGGGATCTGCTCCTGGCAGCCATGTTTCAGCTCACTGGAATGGGTGCAGAATCTGAAATTTCTGTTGTGAACCACCTCCCCGAGCAAAACTGAGATGGTGGGATCATTGCTCCTTTTGTAAGGAGCTGCTTCTGCCTGTTTCCAGATTGGCATTGCTCTTATTCTAGCCTTGGGGTGGGGCGGGCTTTGAAGTGGTTCCTGGTCGGATGACCTTGGCCTAGTCCTTCCTCCTCGGCTCCTGGTTGATGCTTCACCCCACTCAGAGAGGAAGACCTTGATGCTGGAATGGGTGCTGTTTAAATGGGCTGGGATACCTCCTTGGAGGTTGAGGACTTGGGGGCTTTGGAGTCTGGTTCAGTAGTGACACAGCTACCCACATTTCTTACTCCCGCCTCTTCCAAGCCTAAGTTCACCCTGTGGGTCTCTCAGAAGGGACTGAACAGCCTAGAAAGGAGTCAGGGATAAAGTGATCACAACCTCTGGCTTAACAGCAATTCTCCAAACTGAGTCCCTGTGGTGGATTTTGACTTACGGCGAATTTGTGGTTGCTATGAAAGTAGGAAAAGTCACTTGGATTGCATTTTATACATAAAAATTTCACATTTTCTAATCCATCAACTGGCTGCTGTATAAAGCACTTTGGTCAGGTTCATCTTTCAGAGTTATTTGCTTATCCCTTTCTTCTTTCTACATAATTGGAACTTCTTTGCTGACTTTTGTATGAATGTCATAAAAATACCATTTTCTCTTGTTATAGAAAAATTTCTAAGTAATAACATCTCCTGAAAAAAACTTTGCGACCCCTGTGGGAAAAGTTTGCTCCCTTGAAGTTGGTGCTGCCTGAGTCTTTGAAGCTCCATTCACCCTAAATTCACAACATTTCTAATCACCTTTCAAAAATCAGATACTTCCCCTGCAGTAATGATGGATGTACAGGTGTAGGGATGTTTTAGGATATGTGCATCCCCATTACTACTGTTGTGTCATTTCCTTCTTTCCTATTTCTAAAAAAAAGTTTGAAAGGTCATTTAAATGCTTTTGTGAACACAGTTTTTGAAAAACGTAGGAAATACAACTAAACTTTAATCACTTAGATATTCAGTGGTTCTTCTGCTGGTCGCTGGCTCTGTTCCCTTTTCTGTCTAAAATTGGGACCTCCTGGGAAAGGCTTGCTTGTATTTTTTGAATTTGTATTTTGTTTTCCTTGTTGCACTTGCTGAGGCAGCCTGCCAGGACTCTTTGCCCTGCCCTTCCAAAGCTGCTTCTGTCTCCCCAGTCTTGGATTTAGTCTGGGGTTAGTGTATTTGGTATATACACTGACATTAAATAAACACTGCATAATGTGAATTTGCTTTGAGAACATTCTCAAAATTCTCATTAGGAGAGAACTGTAAAGTGACTCCTCTCTTTCAGGTAACAGATCTGAGGAGGTACAGCTGTATACAGATGTGATGAGTAGTGAATAAAAAATGACCCCAGTCTACTTATGGAAAGTGTTAAGAGATGGTTTTCTCCATCCTTCTCTGCCCGCCTCACCCCACATATTGCAGGTGGGCAGAGTTTCTTCTGAAGGTCACTAAGGATTCTGGAGCCAGATTTCAGCCCTTCTAGAGCCCAGCGATCATAGCTGGGTGAAAGCTCGAGCCCTGATTACATAATCACTGGGCTTTATTGCATATTTTATGCTGTGGCATAGTGTGCTACATGCTTCGCTCAACTGAGTCATTTAATTCTTCTGATTACCTTTGAGGTCGGTACTCCAATCCCCACTCTGCTGAAGAAGAGATAGATTCAGAGACTCAAAGTGATTTGCTCAAGTTACCTAGCAGTGAGAATCAGAACTTGGATTGGATTCTCAGTGTCTTGTCTTTAAAGCCCAAAGGGATTCCAGGTCACTCACTGTCCTCCACCTGAAATATTCCCCTTATATAGCACCTTTGTTAATAATTGATAAGAGCAAATGCTTACATAAGCTTATTACCTCCCAAAACCATTCTAAGTATTTAATCTTACATTTAATCTGAAACTCTTTGAGATAGGCAGTAGCTTATCACCCCCATTTTGCAGGGGAGGAAACTGAGGCCCTTAGAGGTGAATTTGCTTGGTGAGACACAATATGGGACAGAACAGGTGTGAGGCTCTGGCATCCATCCTCTCTCCCTGCCCCCAGCTGCCTGTCCTGATGCTTAAGGGCTCTTTCCTTTCCAAAGGTGCTGTCTGCTCTAGGTCTTGCTCGAGGAAGGTCTTTATTCCTCACATCTGTGAAAGAAACCCCATGATCCTTTCGTTTCACCCATAGTTTTCAATCAAAATCGCTCTGTGGATCAGAGGCAGTATTTTCATCAGTGAGTATTGTAAGAGCTAACTTGAGCTTTCACTCCAAAAAGTCTTTAGCTTACAAAGCCTCCGTCTTTCAAACTCCAGACTCCTCCAGTTTTGCCTTTACCAGTAGTGAGAACTACTGAAGTGCAGTCAGGCTCCTAAAGAAACAGGCTGAAAGCGCAGAGACCTTTCTCTTCATCCATCTAGACCCAGGGGGAGCAACAGCTTCCAGGGCCACCCTGATCAATGCTTGCCCAGAGCACGGCCTCAGGGAAGGTGGGACCTCCATGCTCTTATGAGGGGCAGAAGTAGTGAAGTCCAACCCCACGAAGCACAGTTTTCCCCGATGCTGACCTACAACAGGCAGCTAGCAGGACTTTCCCCACTCACTTCCCTTGCATCCTCTTCTACAAGTCCTCTCGTTCCCGCTGCTTGCGGAGCCCCTTAAAGCCAGCAGTCCTTGACCATGCCCATTTCATGGGTTGATTCTCACAGCTACTTTGAAAAGGAGTTCTGGGCTTGAAAAATATTGCCACACGCACTAATCTTTTTAGACATGATAGTTTCCTTTTCATTTTGTTCTTTTACTAGATTTGCGTATCCATTTTTAGTAACTGTGCTACCAATTTAAATGAGAATGCTCATTTCCTTTGGCCCCTTGTCAGGTAAAACTTCAAATGCAGAAGCAGTAGTTGCTGATTTGAATATTTTTGATTGAATGGTGATGATTCACCAGGGATGAACAGATTGTCTTTCATGTGAGAGAAGCTTCTAACAGCTTATAGAGCTTCTGGGGAATTCAGTCAGTGGGAAGTACATGATCTGCCATTTAGGTTGGCCTTCAGTGTAGAATTAAATCAGAGAAGAGCTCTCACCTGAAGAAATAAAATCATAATTAATAATGTCTCTTTTTACATGTATGTCTACAAATACTTGATATGCTGTACAAGCTTCACTGAAGACAATACTTATTTCCCATATAGGTAGACATGAAGGCAGAAAGTCTGAAATGGTTTCCAGGGTGGTGGGCAGTGTTATCAAAGAAAGGCTTGACTTGAACTTGTCTCCAGGGAGCAGGAAAAACCTAGTTTCAAGTATTCCTGCAACTTTTGTGCTGATCAAGTGTTTATGAATAGAAGTTAAAGCCCCGGTGGGTTTTTCTTTGGTTCACTGGTGAGCTAGAGAGAAATGACAGTACCAAGAGATTGACTGTAAAATGATTTTTCACCATGGCCTGCTGGGCAGAAATTATTGAACAGGCCGCCTCCATGGCGCCTCGGAGGAAGGAACGCAGGAAAAGGTCTGCGTGGAAATTTGGCTGCAGCCTCGGTGCATGGGCCTTGGTTATCAGGTAGAAGTGTGGGGCAAAGCTATTACAGAAAACTCTGGGAACATGAATTCTAAGCACAGATGCCACTTACATGTGCCTTTTTCTTAGTGGGAATTTTTTTTTCACCCCGGGAAAGACTTTTCTTCCACCAAGATGCTGGTTTGCCAGCTGATAACCGTCTGGCGGGGGGGCTTCCTTGGTGGTTCAGTGGTAAAGAACCGGCCTGCCGTGTAGGAGATGTGAGTTTGATCCCTGGATCGGGAAGATCCCCTGGAAAAGGAAATGGCAACCCACTCCAGTACTCTTGCCTGGGAAATCCCATCGACAGAGGAGTCTGGTGGGCTGCAGCCCGAGGGGTCACAAAGAGTTGGACACGACTCGGTGACTAAACAACAACAGCCATCTGTCAGAGGCAACTCCGGTCTTAATCAGTCTTTGGCAGTCCCATTGCAGTGGTAACAAGGATTTTTCTACCTCATTCTTCTGAATATACTTAAACACACTTAAAGATGAAAATGTACTTGAATTACACATGCATTTGAAGAGTGAGGGAGTTTTGGTCCAGATAACAGCAGAGAGCTTTTCTCTTCCTTTCTTTTTGTGCAGAGGTCGAGAACTCAGTAATCCTGCAGTCCAGGCCAAAACAAACTCTATATGATCTACTACTGATTTCCTTTTAAGTTCCCCTTCTTGCTAGGACTGACTTCCTTTTATTTTACTCCAACTTGCATTAATCCCAGTTATAGAAGTTTCTTTCCTCTCTCCCTTGCTTCCAACTTCAAACATTTCTTACATAGGAAAACAGTGACTTTTTTTTTTTAATTTCAAGATCTACTTAAAAGAAAATATAAAAGGCACCATGACTTTTGGAATATATTTTGGCAGCCGGCAGTTTCAGAGTTCCTTTCTGAGCAGACAGAGTTAGATGGGGAGCTGAAATGTCTACGTGACCACTGTGGTCGCTGTGAGCCAAACCACCTGCTTATCTGATCTCCTCTGGGAATGAGGTGGTCGACACCTACAGTGGTTATTTAGTAATTAGATGCTCTGTTTGCCAGGGCTCATATGTTCCTTAACTGGTGCTGCCTCTTTCTGTGGGTTTTCATGATGAGAGCTGGGTGTTACCGATCGCTTGAAGAGATCAGAGCTTGGGTCCGGTATTTTTAGCTCAGATTCACATTTTTGTTCTCTCCCAGCAGCAGCTATTGTCATTACTGTCATTGACGTCCAGTTGGAAGACGGTGCCAACCAAGCTGACTGACTGAGCCGTTGAGGTGCCCTGGCCAGCAGAAGGCAGGATGTGGTTAAAATTGTGCTCTGATTCTATGGCCAGCCTCAGGAAATCTATTTGGTTTCTTGTCTTTTGTTTGGTTTTTGCTTGGGAATTTTCTCAAAGCCCTTCTCCTTTGGCCCTTTTCACCTTCTCTCCTCTTACGAGGATTTGCAGGCTGCACAATTATCAGGACTACTGAAATCCAGAAGTGGGGGTCCTCCTGGGACCCTGGCACTCTATTCTCTTTCACCTCCAGACTCCTGTCTGTATTATTATTGTATTGTTTTTACTGTTGTTTAAATAGCAGTGAAAGAACAAGGCTCAGAGTTCAAATAATGCCAAGAATCCATTAAAGGAGCAGGGCAGGGTGGACTACCAGGGGTATCAGGCAGGTCAGCACTGGGCAAGTCTCTGAGCCTCAGTCCTCCCCTGATAAATGACGACCATAAGGCAGTCATAATTATGCCTGCCTCATAGAGTTGTCAGGAGGAATATTGGTGATGTGTGAATGTACTCTACAAAATCTGATGGGTTAGAAAAAGTGAAATATGTTATTTGTGTAGTCTTGAAAGAGTTATTATTAGAGCTTCACAACATCCCTGTAAAGTTAGACTGACTGAGATTAAAATTCCCATTTAACAGAACCCTGTTCAGTGGAAACATAATGCAAGTCATCTACTTAATTTGAAGTTTACCAGTAGCCACAGTAAAAAAATTAGAAACACAAAATTTTTAAAATATTCTATTGAACCCCAAAAGCCCAACTCTTATTTCAGCATGTGGTACTCTCCATATTTCAGGTTCTAAACAGCCATGTCTCACTAGTGGCTACCTATTAAACAGTGCAGTAGAGAGGATTTTCAAGCCCGCACTGGGACGATACATATATAAGGCATAGATTCTGTAGTTAAGAAGGTTTGCTTTCTGGGGGCCAAGAAAATGTACTTAAAAAATTATTTTCTCTTTAGGAATCTGTTGGACTATTCTTTAAGTCTGTGAGAAAATTCCAGAATCATAAAGTTAGATATTTGGGACTCATTGACCCATATGTATAAACTCCTGTCACTCACCTTGCTTCTCAGACCTCTTGAAAACTACAATGTTGTTAGTCTTATACAAGGATGAAATAATTTCAGAAAGATCCCAATCCCAGTAGGACCTAGGAAAATTGTCAGCCAGGGCTGAGTGATTTTAGTTGGTGAACAATTTTTAAAAAATCAGTGACAAAAGCAGAGAGCCGCCTGGGGAATACAATGCCTGTTGGCTGAGATTAATGGCAAGATTAATAAATGGATTGCTTGATGAAAAGGCACAGAAGAACAAAAACCAGTAGAGATTGTGGAGGAGGCCGCTTATTAATGAACTGTCAGCCCAGAGAAAGTTCAAGAAACTCTTCTGTGTTAAATGCAGCAGGCTGGCACTTCTAATAAAAATTGGGGTCCTCCAGGAATTAATTACACTGGCCTTACAGCAAGAATTCGTGGAATTGCGAAATGTAGTGGCACAGACCAGCACCAGCCGCTGCTGCGAACAGAGAAGCTGCTGGAGAAACTAATCTTTTTTTTTTTTTTTTTCATTGATATGTAGTATATTGTAGTAGCATAATAGCCAGTTGGACACGGGGATGAATGATGGGGTCCAGATAGGCGCTGACTAATGAAACTACACATACTTGGAGTTTGAAGTCACTTCACATTTCATATGTAAAATTCCCTCCTGGAATCTGATTTCCTCCTCATTCTGTGTACCCGCCACTGAGGAGTTCCAAATAATTTTCAGAGTCATTCTGAGAGGCAGATGGACTCTACCGTGATTTATCAAGCGATGTTGAGAGAGAGAGAACAAGGTTCATTTATTCCAAGGGATGCATGCTGTTACTTCCCTAACCCCTCCACAGGTTCCCAGTTTGGCTGGCCTGGCAAAATCTTCTCTTAATTAAACTTTGGTGTTGCCTCTGCCGGGTGGATGAAGCAGCCCAAAGGAATGCGGTGACAAGGTGTAGATTGTCCAGAATTTGCGATCTGGTATCACACACATTAGATACAGAAAGCTTCTTACCTTCTTTCCCTTCTGCCATGAAGGTGGAATGGAAATGGTCTGTAATGTGTTTAGACCAAAGGTTCCCAGACAAAACCATTCATCTCTTGGGTCTCAAATTTCATAATTAACCATTTTACTTCAGGACTAAATTTATCCCTAATAGAACTTGGCTATTTAGGAGATTTCTGGTGATCAGTTGTTATGTTAGTTTTCTAGGAAGGAGATGAAATTGAAATATGAAATTAATGAACTAGTAAAAATAAAGGCATGTGATAAAGATGTTGAGTTGTACCATGCAGGATACTTTTGAGAAGAGTGTTATTTTAGGAAATAAATGTGACAGCTCTTCTATAATGCATTTAGAGAAGTGTTTTAAGACATATGCAATAAACATGGTTTTAAAAGTTGTATGTGAAAAAAAGAATAATTTTTGATTGGTTTATATGGTGATACAGTTTTCCTTTGGGGTCTTAATGTAAATGATCAGCCATTGTTTTCCCTTATATAATAAAGGTCTGGGTTGGGGCCTTTGAAAAAAAACTCCCTTTGACTTATACCATGACCATAAAATTTATAGAGAATGATTTCTTGAGTTGTATCTAGAGTTTATCATCCTCTTTCTTCTGCTTGTCACATCCTTGAGTATTAGACCATCCATCACCCATCACTCTTTGACTTTTCAGGCCCTCATAATCCACATGATACTTATCCTTTTGATTAAAACAAGTTAATGGCCTTTTCACGAATAATTAATCTGCTGTCTTTCTACTTTCAGCTCCAGGCTTTTAACTTTAATGTTGAGCTATCCAGCCTGTGTTGCCTTTCAAAGTTTCACTCCCTTTAGCCTCTTCCCTTCAGAGGTTTAATACCTCTTTAGAAACTTCAGTGTTTGCTCTACTAAGGTTTTTTAAAGGCTTCCAAATTGTTCTCACATCCTTTCTGCTGTGTGTGAGGTGAATGACATGTGGAGATCAGTGGGATGAAATAAAAATCATTTTAGACTCATGTATTCTGTCCATTCTGGAAAATGTGGACGCTTTCACTGTAAAGAAAAGTTAAAAGTCTATTGCTTTTTGGGGAAAAAAAATTGCACATATATATGTTGTATACTATGAATTTCTAACTCTGGACGTTTTCCTGACAGTGACAATTTATACCAGATGACCTCCCAACTTGAATGCATGACCTGGAATCAGATGAACTTAGGAGCCACATTGAAGGGGTAAGTTCTTCTGTACTGTTTGCCTTCAACAGTAACTTACACCTGTTTGAACCAAGGTCCTTATACTGTAGGGAGAGAGCACAGTTGTAGAATAGGCGTGGCTCTCTACAGAATTAAGATGCTTTCCTCCTTCTCCCAGTTGATGAGTTTTGTTCAGTATTAAATTTTTAGGAATATAGTTAGGGGATGTTTTTGTCTAGAATGAGGGGGTTGAGAATACTGGGAAAACTCCATATGGCCTTTCCTTATTGAATGTTTTAGAGTTCCTCAAAGTTGTGTCCATTCAACCTTGTTTAATATTTATGTTTTGCTTGTGATATCACCGAGGTTAATCATTACCTCATCCTCCCGAGAAATGCTTTAAGTTTACAAAGTCCAAGATCTAAACTCGTAGCTGAAGGTGATTTGGACCATCCAAAGTCAGATGTGGGCACACCTGGTTGCCTCAGGAGGCTTTTATCACATTTGATACACAACCAGAATACAGAGAACATAGCAGTCAAACATAGGTAGGGGCAATTCTTTGCACCTGGAAATGAAAAAAGCAAGGTGGGACTTGCTTTAAACAGTAAAAGAAGTCAGTTTTAGTTTTGAATCTGAGTGGATAGGCCGTCGGATACGACAGTCACGAAGCCCTTGTGGTGTAACAGGTACTCATCTGGGTCCCCTCATCCAATCTTCCCGATGGCATTATGATGCCTCCTAGGCACTGTTAGGATAAAGAAGTTCGTCAAGCTCAGACATTTAAGTAATTTCCCAAGCTCACATCATACTGTGTGTGATAGAGCTGCGATTCCAAGTCCACTTCTGATTCCAAAGCAAAGGCTCTTTCCAGTCTCCCCATGGGGCCTTCTACTCCCCACCCCCACTGTCGGCCCGAGTGGGTTCAGGGACCCAGTTCAGCACTCTTGACCAGCCGGCCCCTCGAATCTGTGTATTTCGTGGCTTCTCATTGGATTGTGGGATCTGGGCGTGCTGGAGCCTGGCACACTCCAGTCCCCATCCCCACCTCTTCTTTTCTTCTAGAGTTGCTGCTGGGAGCTCCAGCTCAGTGAAATGGACAGAAGGGCAGAGCAAGTGAGTGGACGATGCGATGATGGCAAAGCAAACGGTGTAGGCCTTGTTGACTGGCAGCTGGGGTGATGCAGGAGTTAGGACATGACGGGTAATCAGGGCAGCAGTTGGTGCACAGGGATGGGAAGAAGCGATCCATTTTTTTCTCTCTCTGTCTCTGCCTCCTCTTATTTACTGTAGATATGTATGTGGGTAAAAATGGAGGTGGTGACATTTCTCATCAGCATACCCCTGGAAAACAATTTAAGAAATGATGCCTTAGGAACCCTGCTCATTTCCTGGCAAATGTTTCAAAAAATATTTAATTTGTGGTATTACACATATTCCTGTTACATCAGTCAACTCTTTCAGCCATACTTAACTTGCCTTTTCTCTATTTACCTTTAAATCTCTCAGGGAGAACTTAATTTTTACCCCAAATCTATGGTCAGACTTTCTGCAGAGACTTTTTAGAATTCCTAAACATCTTTGTTTTCCCCAGCCTTACAGCATGAACCCTGGGACATTTTTGTAACTGTTTCTTTTGATTTTGTTTTCTCTGCTTAAACACCAGAACCAGCCTCCCTCTTCTGGCCTTTCTTTCTTTTGTTGCTTCTGTGCTGTTTTTTGGATCATCCTTTGGTGATCAGCAAAGTTGTTTTTCATCTTCTAAAACTATTAGAGCCTTCTTTCCATACCTAGCCCCCAATTTTTCAACTATTTTAACCAAATCTCTACTTTCTTTCTCTAGACCCAAAGTATAAAAGCCTGCTGTTGATTGGGAATTTTTCTCTCCCGACTTCCATCCAAGGGTTGATGACAATTTCAGCATTGTATCTTTCCACCTACTTGCAATTTATGTTATCTTTCCTGGTCCCAGCCTTTCTTTCTGAATCTCTTACTTTTCTTCTCCCTTCTCCTCTCAGAATTCAGTAACTCTCCCCAAACTACATGCCAAGAATAGAATATGATTATGAAGTGAGGAGTATGTTTCAGTTTTTTAAATTTCTTCATGATGGAATATAGGGTGGTTTTGTTTACTTAATTACAAAAATTACGTATAAAGAATCTTGGCATATATTTTAATCTGGGTCTTTCCATTGGTGATATAATCTTGGTATCTTTTAAGATCTTCAGGCACATGGTATTAGTCACTTGCTAGGGAGTCAGAAGCTATGAGGATGAAGTGCTAAGTGCGAATAAATTTGTTTTGTTCAATTCTGTATAAGAAACAAAAACTAGAAGAGTTTTCATTGATCTGGTGTTTACATTTTGGAAAAGGATTCTTGAAATTAAAATGTACTTCTTGAATACTTTATTCAGAGAGCTGTGTGAAAAGCATCAAGTGACTCCCAGTAGACAGTCTTACTGAAGAGTACTGTAACTCTTTGGAGAACAAAAGGTTACAATTGTCTACTTTGTTAATATCTTCTCTCACATTGGGTTTTTAATCTCTTTGGCACTTACTGTAAGTCAGCTAAGTGTTTGCTTCTGCGTGGGAATTGAATATTTATCTAAAGATGGATGGGAACCTTATTTGGCCAGATGTGAAGGGCTTTATGCACTTCTCTTTTGTTTTCACGACAATCCTGTAGTCACACACATCTTTTCAGATGAGGGCTTGAGAGGTTATGCTACCTAACCAAGTTCACTTAGTGAGTAAGTGTCAGAGCCATGTTGGAACCCACTGCTGTCTGACTGCAGGACCTGGGCTCTAGATTAGAGTTTCTTAAACTTTTTAGACTGTGACCACAGTTAAAGATACCTTTACACTGAGACTGAATGTATACAACACACACACACACACACATTTTCACAAAACAATACTACATGCTTTACTTAACTGATGTTTTCTACTTTATTGTATATCATCTTAAAAAATGCTGGTTGTGATTTTACAACTCGCTAATGTATCATGACCCACAAATTGCCTCTCTTTTAGCTCTAAAAATAGCAGCTGCTTAGCTCTTTGCTTCAAGCCCATGAACAGCTGAGAACTGGATACAATTGAAACTAATATCCCAGTAGAAAGTGGTTTTCCCCAGGGGGTGCATAGTCTGAGTAGCTGTCTTTATTCTCTGTACCAAATTTGTTTTCCTTTGTCATGGTATGAGAAGGCTGTTCATGGAAAATTTGGGCAAAGATACTCTGTGAAGAAAGGCAAAGAGAACTAACTGTATTTTTGCATTAATCCATAACTAGTGTCTGGACACTATCTGAAATCAGTGGTGTGAAAAGTCATGGTGACATCGTAGATCTGTAACAGGAAAACTGGATGTCTGAGTCATGTTTTGGGGGGGAAAAAGGATGTAATTAATCAGTCATAAAAGAAAGAAGCATCATCACATTTTTATTAAAAGATTGTGTACCTGAGACTAATACCCACTAAATATTTGTTCACATCTTCTTTCCTTGAAAATCATACTTTTTTAAAAAAGAATAAGCTTGTTTCCTTGTGTCCCAAGCAAGTCCACAGAGACATCTTCCATTAGATGTTGGGGAGCAGTGTTATACTGGGTGGGGATAGAATTTTAGGGGGAGCAAGGGCAAGATAAGAAAAAAACATGAAACATGGGTGAGGAGGGGCTTCCCTGATCTGCCTGCAGTGTGGGAGACACAGGAGATGTAAGTTGGATCCCTGGGTTGGGAAGTTCGCCTGGAGGAGGAAATAGCAACCGCTCCAGTATTCTCGCCTGAAAAATCCCATGGACAGAGGAGCCTGGCAGGCTACAGTTGATGAGGTCGCAAAGAATCGTACACGACTGAACGACTAAGCACCCACACAAGGGGGAGGAAAGAATCTTGCCACTGATTTACTCCTGTCTCTCCTTCTCCCTTTAGTCATTTTCATCTCTGCATGCCCATAGGGATCAGAGCTGCTTTTATGACGTCAACTGGGAGAATGCTGTATTTCAGTTTAAGTCAAAGAGAAGATACTTTATGAAGCTACTTTCCTAACTCTGACCGTTTCCTTACCTACAAACAGTGAAGTTAAATTTTCTAAGTGGGTCATTGTGATAAAAAATTGCAGGGAAATCTTTTTCAGCACTAGTCTACTTTTCTGAATAATTTTGTGTGTGGCATCTTGCATTGTTGTCTGCTTTGTATTTCTTTAGAAGCATTTTTTGTGTGTTTCTAATGCCTGCTGATTTCCTAATGCTGCTCCCAAGCCCAGCTCCTCTGTCAGCCTCTGTTTTGTCTCTTCTGAAGAAAATATCCTGCAAAATGGAGAAACACATCAACCTTGACTGTGGTCCAAGTTGTTAAAACAAGGAAGAAGTTATTCTCTGGGGACTTGGGTAGGGGGAGTGGGAAATTGAACACAATAGAAATGTGAAAGGAGTGCTGAGCAAAATGAATGTCCCCTTTGCTGGTCCAAGAAGTTCAGACTGTTGGGAACACACAGTATTTGACCTGTGGATGCTTGAAAGGAAAAATGAAAGATCTCAGGATGAGTGATGTATGGTGAAAACAAAGCTGCGTTTTTGGGTAGGGCCAAGGCTGTCGAATCTGGAGAGAATCCCCACTAGACATGGTCTCATCCCTGAGAACCTGTGCCAGAAGAGATAGCTGTCTTCTCTGGCTGGGAGTTCCAACACACAGCCCAGCACCTTCCCTCTCCAGCCCGTGAACAGAAGGTATCCGTCCAAGAGATTTACTTCTCGAAAATGGATAGCTTGCTTTTCAGGGGCTCCCGGAGCTTGTGATGCAAACACAAAGGTGGAGAGAAGCGGCTCTGGGAATATCAGCATTCCTGAGCTTACTCCTCCACCTCCACTCCCAGGGTAAAGCTGTTAATTTCTTCTTTTATATGGTTACATTTATGCATTTCAACTGTGCTGGACTTGGCTAGAGTCCATTAGCCGGACTTCTCAGAACAAAGCAGGGGACGCTCCTGGGTTTGCAGGATTGAGATGGGGACTGTGATTTAGTCCCATCTCTCCTGT